CAGAAAGCTCGGAAGATGGGATTGTCGAAATTCAGTTTTAGAATTAATGGTTGGATTATATCTCATCTCTTCTTCTTTATTAGTTATCGCACCCTAAAAATTGTCCTAATATAGATAGATTTCTTATTTCCTAAATCATATACGTACCTTCGAAAACATGTCCACATGCTGTAACCAAAACGAGCATGCGAACAAGCGCGCGCACACGAACCAAATGTACGCGGTCACACAGAAAAAGATTAGGGAGCTGATCTCCTATTCCACGAACACGAAAGGCAGTAAGAAAAAGAGAATTGCGGCAATATTGCAGTCGAATTTTTTCATTTGAAAATTAATCTAGGAATTTATGCCAATTGTTAGAGAATATCACATCGGCTTCCACTGAGTCCGCCCTGCGACACTCGTCAACTTGCCCTGTGAAAGGGGGAGCGTCTGTGTGCGGGCTCGGGGCAGGGCCGGGGGCAGGTGCCTGTGAGCGCAGCCTGCGTCCAGCAGAGGGCAGCAGAGCCCCGTCCGGGTGGCTGGTGACTGTCACCGCCCACTCTCCTTCCAAGCTCGCCCTGGGCAAGTGAGGAGCTTAACCGTCTGTAAGTGCTCGTGTCCACTCTCAGCGTGGAAAGCTGTGCCACCTCACCTACTCACGGGATGGGCTCAGGAAAGGGACCCAAACGTGATCGTCAGCTCAGGACTCAAATGATCTTGCCAAATGAGGCAGAAAGCAAAACTTTCTCATTCGAACATTGACCCCAATTCCAAACGCGGAGCTCTGCGTGCTCGGGACCAGTGGGACGTGCGAGGAGGGGCCGGCTCCCGGGCGCCCGTCAGGGGCCACGTCCGGGGCTGACCCTGCCTCCCGGGCGGCTCTGGCCTCAGCTCAGACGGCCTCGCCAGGGCTCTCATCCCTTCCCACGGCCTGAACCCTCTCCCTACATTTACAGCCTTTGTTCTTTTCGAAATGAGTGGTACGGCTGTCCTGCCCCCAGTGACCAAATCGTTGCATGTCCACAGCTCTGCCTCGTGGGGCTGCCCAGCGGAAGGCATTGCTGAGACTTTCTCACACCCCGTTTAACCACGTGACTATGTTAAGGCCAGGAGCTTCCAAACTGCGCCCTGAAGGAAAAGGCCACCTGCCTCCCCCTTTGACTCTTTTTGTTGGCCAGAATTGGAGTGCGATGGCTGGAGCTAGAGCAGCCCTTCTGGGCCAGGGGGACAGCCTGGAGCTGAGGACGGCAGCGTTCCGGTCAGCGGCCTGGATTGCCCCCTGAAGGCTGATGTGGGAGAAATGAGCCAAGAGGCTAGAAAAGAGACAGCGCAGCCCTCTTAGGTCTTTACCTAAAAGAAACATCACGAAGCTACTATGTTGCCAGATGCATCTCAAGGAGGAGGTAAGGACGCCATCTGGCAATCTGCCAGGCCAGAACCGAAGCGTGAAGTGTGCGAGTGAGTCTCAGCGGGTCACTCTGAGCTTGGCCCGCTGCGGCCTCTCCCTTGGCGCAAATCCCTCAGCTCAAGGCAGCAGGCAGGCCAGGGTCCCCACGGGGCGAGGCTCAGCGTGCCGACGACGTGTTGGGGGGCGGGGGGTGATTCAGAAAGTCTGATGGGAACACGAGCCGCCGCCGGTCTTTGCAGAGTCGCAAGGCTATGCGGAGGGGAGAGGCCAGCCAGGGGCGCGAACCGGGACCGCCCTGTGTGCACAAACGGGGGGCAGGGTAGGGCCCGACCAGCACGGGCACCGTCACACCAGCCTCCTGTGCCGACCGTTCCCACGGCCCCCAGAAGAGGGCCAGGTCTCTGCACAGAGTGCCGAAGCCATCGGGGTCGGGCAGTCCCCCCTGCACCGGAGAGCTGGGGGGGGGACACCACGAATGGGGGTGCAGATCGGCCACTGGCTCGCGGTGGTGAGGACTGTCTCAGAGGGAGCGTGACTCGCGGTGGCAACCGTAGATGTTAAACAGGTGTGGTCTGACCTGAGGCCACGCGTGCCCGCTGCCCTCTTCATGCTATGGGGATCGGGGTCCGAAAAGCTGGAGAAATGGCCATGGGGGGAATGTTCGGAGCACGGCTCACCGTAGGGAAGGGGGAACTACCCGGAAGTGAATTCTCAAGTCTTGCAACTAACTGCATCATGAAAAGCCGCCCCGCCTTCCGAAGCCGCGTCTTTCTGGGCTGAACTGCGCCTCCCCCCAATGCCTGTGTTGAAGCCCCATGACCCCCCGTGACCATACGGAGAAACGGGGCCTTTCAAGGGTGATTAAGATAAACCGAGGTCTTCAGCGTGGTCCGTGATGCAGCATAACTGGGGTCCTTCTAGGAAGAGGCGGTTAGGGCACACGGAGAGACAGGAGGGACTTGGGGTCCCCAGAGGGAAGACCGCGTGCGGACGCAGCGAAAAGGCAGCCGTGTGTGCAAGCCAGGGGCAGAGGCCTCGGGAGAAGCCGGCCCGCCCGCACCGACCCCGGGCCTGCAGCCTCTCGCTCCGGGCCCCGCCATCGGATGCGTTTGTATCCTGAGCGCACAGCCACGTGTTCATTTAGACCAGACTCTGTACTGCTCCCTACGGAGCACCTGGGATGTGCACTCGCTGTGAGACATCTTTAAGGAACTTGAAAATGTTGGCCTTCCCCGGCCCCATTTAAAAACTAGCCTGTCCATCCTCACAAGCAAGTCGGCGTGCAGTTTGCAAGGCAACACTTCAGAGCCTCGATTTCTACCTCTGTTGAGATGCACGCGAGGTGAAATGTCACCTATCCAGAAATAATTGAGACCGTCTCGAGGACTTTGTAGCAGGAGCCAGGAAAGACCGCCTCTGGTCAGCACACGTAGAGGGGATTGTACACAAACACACACCTACGTGTGTGTCATGCATGTGTCCATGTGGGTCTGATTGCTTTACTAACAGCAGACTTCCAGGTGCTGACTCATTGCCCCGACGAATGCCCATGTGACCAGTGCAGATGGCTGATGCCCCAAACACAGCCAAATAACGTCTGCAGAGAATAGAGGGGAGACTAGCGGCAGGCACGCCGGAGGGGCAGCCAGAGCCCAAGCGAGGGCAGCTGGGGGCCTCGATGACACCGGGCATCACTGTGCCTGGCTCAGCGGCCGCCCCAGGCAGCAAGAGGAAAAGATGCCATTTAATGAAATAAAGCCCGCAGCCCATTTTCGAAACATTTTTATTCATCATGGCTGAAAGTTTTAAAGGGCCACTGCTTAAAGAGGTAGGCAGCACCTATCTATCTGAAGACCTAAGCTGTGCCAGATGGCGAGGCGCCTGTGTGCGGGGCAGGGTGGAAGCGTGCGTCGCAGACTGCCTGACATCAGTCTCGGAGGGAGCGGCCGAGCGACGTCTCCTTTGCTTTGATGGCCGGAGGCGACCGCTGACAGGTGTCTGGGATGCGACGTCCCCAGACGGAACGCTGAAGCGGAGGACAATTCCCACGTCACATACGGTTTGATTTCGCAAAGCCAGAACCATGTTTTAAACACAGACTTTGAATCCTAAGGCGGCACTTCGGATTCCACACAGATCCCGCGAGTGCTGACGAGGACAGGGAAGGTTTCGGAGGACGCGTCCGGCGGCGGCAGACACGTCGGCGTCTTCGCGAATCGTGTCGGCGTCTTCCTGTCACGCGTGTGTGTTTTTGTGACACGCGTTGCCGTTCTTCCACGGATGGTCGTCCGCTTACACACCACTTCCGAACATGGCGTCGAAGGCGGCCGTAGAGACCCGACTCCTAATTAACCTGCCGGGAGGAACGGCCACTGGGCCAGCGTCACGGCGGCGCTCGGCGAGCGCGCCCAGGCCGGCCGCACCCGCCGCTCTGCGGAAACGGATGCCACTTCCTGCCTTCCTCAGGGACAGCTCCTCGTCCTTTTTTAAAAAGTATTCTATTTACGAAACCGTTCAAACACCTAACACTTTAAGCGGCACTGTACACTCCAACTTCATCATGATTTGGTAAACCAGTGGCTGCTGGGCCCCTCTGCGTGCCGGGTGTGCGCTGGTGTGTGCTGTGTGTGCTGGGTGTGTGCCGGGTTGTGCCAGGTGTGCACCCAGTGTGTGCTGGATGCGTGGCTGGTGTGTGCCTGGTGTGTGCTGTGTGTGCTCTGGGTGTGCGCTAGGTGTGCTGTGTGTGTGCCAGTGTGCGCCGGGTGCGTGCCGGGTGCCACATGTGTGCCAAGTATGTGCAGAGTGTGCACTGGGTGTGTGCCAGGTGTGTGCCAGGTGTGTGCCAGGTGCCATGTGTGTGCCGGGTGTGTGCTGGGTGTGTGCCGGGTATGAGCTGGGTGTGAGCTGGGTGTGCGCCGGGTGTGAGCCGGGTGTGCGCCGGGTGTGAGCCGGGTGTGCGCCGGGTGTGAGCCGGGTGTGCGCCGGGTGTGAGCCGGGTGTGCGCCGGGTGTGAGCCGGGTGTGCGCCGGGTGTGAGCCGGGTGTGCGCCGGGTGTGAGCCGGGTGTGCGCCGGGTGTGAGCCGGGTGTGCGCCGGGTGTGAGCCGGGTGTGCGCCGGGTGTGAGCCGGGTGTGCGCCGGGTGTGAGCCGGGTGTGCGCCGGGTGTGAGCTGGGTGTGCGCCGGGTGTGAGCCGGGTGTGAGCCGGGTGTGCGCCGGGTGTGAGCTGGGTGTGCGCCAGGTGTGAGCTGGGTGTGTGCCCGGTGTGCGCCGTCACCCGTCTGATGGGACTCCAGGGAATTAACGACTGCAGAGGAATCCAGCACGTTGTCGACGGCCATTGGGCCGGAAGTGCCTCAGCCGTGGTGACAGCTGTCACTGACGCGTCCAGCCACCTTCGCTGTCCTTCCACACAGCCTTTCCTGCACTCTTCCTGCTGCTTTTCCTGCCGGTTCACGCTCGCTGAGTGTGTCAAAGGGATGAGCTACAGCTGAAGCCAGTCCACGAGCTGCCTGCAAACAGCAACAGCGAACGCTCTGGCGGATAAAATGTTAACCATCTGCCTGAAATGGGTTGCAGGAGGGTTTTTGGCCTTCATTTTAGGGTTTTTTTGTTTGTTTGTTTGTTTTCTGTTTTGTTTTGTTTTGTTTTGTTTCTGTTTAGCTTTTCAACCCGTGTGACTGTTTGCTATGCCCAGAAGAGATCGGGGCCTATAATTGCTTCCTGAATATTTGTGACAATGTTCATATTTCTAAACGACTTTCTTAATTCAGCCCTTCCCAGAGCCTGTTTGGGGCTGCCAGCCGTAACGTACTGCAGTCATGGGGAACGGGGACGCTGCATGCCAGGGCGGACCAGCCCGAGGGCAGTGCTGTCCTGCGCTGCGGGGCAGACGGGACTTTGCTCAGCGGGGAGTGTCACATAGTGAAGGAGGACGGGTTGTCATTGTCCACGGTCTCACTGTTCTGCCTGGAGATGAAGGTTTCCGAGTAGAGCCTGGAGCAGGAGAAGCCGGGAGACTTCTGCTTCCTCCTCACGCACCACAGGTCCTTCATGATCTTCAGAAAGTACTTTCTGAACCTCTGGCCGATGAACGCGTAGAGCACGGGGTTGAGGCAGCAGTGCAGGAAGGCCAGGACCTCGGTCAGGTTCTTGGCGTAGCCGATCAGCTTTTCCGCGTTGCAGGATCGGTTCACTTTCCCCAAATTCGCAGCGGTCACCAGGAGCACCACATTATGCGGGATCTGACAAGCCAGGAACACGAGCACCACGGCGATGATCACGCGGATGGCCTTGTGCCGCTTGGAGTTCTGCGCCTGCACCAGGGTCCTGACGATGAACACGTAGCAGAACACCATGAACACCAGCGGGACGAAGAAGCCGAAAAGCAGCTGCAGCCCCAGCACCAGCAGCTTCCAGGGCAGGGGGTCGGCGGCCGGGTGGAACCTGGGCTCGCAGACGTCGCCGCCCTGCAGGGCGTACTTCTGGTTGAACGCGAAGGTCGAGCTGGAGATGAGCACGGACAGCGCCCACACGGCGAGGCAGACGGCTCTGCGGTGTGCCAGCGTCCTGGCACGCAGGCGGAAGGACTTGGTCGCCTGCACGATGGCCACGTAGCGGTCCAGGCTGACGCACGCCAGGAGCAGCATCCCGCAGGTGAAGTTGATGGTGTAGACGCCCTTTGTCAGCTTGCACAGGGCGTTGCTGAAAACCCAGCTGCCCGTGGCGTGGCTGACGGCCCAGAACGGAAGCGTGAGGACGAACAGAATGTCCGCGGTGGCCATGTTCAGCCATGGACTTGGCTCTCTTATACAACGCGAAGGTGACCACCACCAAAATGTTGCCCAGGAGGCCGAAGACGCAGATCAAGGAGTAAGCGATGGGCACGAAGAGCCTGGAGAAGGCCCGGACCTCCTGCAGGCTGCAGACCAGGCTGTCGTAGTCGATGGTGTAATCCAGCTCGGAATAGTTATCATTTAAGTAGCTGACGCTGGAATTCATCAGCTCCTGGAAAATGGACGAAGGTCGAGTTAGCCGTCGAGCAATTCTCAAGTAGCCACAATCAAGCGAACGTGTGTGTGTTCCCGGCCGGAACGACACAGACACTCACCGTACTCATCGTGCAGCCTGGCCCGGGAGGAGTTCGGGCCCGGTCCAAAGGGGAATGGACGTCAGAATCCGGCAGCAGCAGAGAGGACCGGGGAGCAGTGGATCTAAGGAAGAAAGGAAGCGAAATCAGGGCGGTGAAGACGCACGTTCTCGGTCGGCCAGGGAACCGATGGGACCACGCGCAACCGCATCCGAGCAAAGAGCACGGCACGTTTTCTACCTAAAACTATTCATTCAGAAGGCAGGTCAGCGACCTCTCTCTGCAGAGCGCCAGACGGTCAGTCCTTTAGTCCCTGCAGCTCACACCGTCCTGCAGATCTGCCCTCGACGTCTGAGGACGGCCACAGACGATGACACATGCGAATGGGCGCGGCCGGGCTTGGTGGTCCCCGGCTGTAACTTGCTGACATTGGATCTACAGTGTAGACCAGGGTGATGTCAGCACAACCACAAATTTTTTGATCCGCACAAAAATCTTCCTGCAAAATTCAAGTACATCCAACAAGACTCCTCTGAACAAAATGTATAGAGGTGAGGATAGGTCCAAAATATTTATAATGTGTAGTCCTAGCCTGCAGAGAGCTCCCAGCGCAGTTCAGTGGCTTTCAGCCACATGGGCACGTGAGAATCTCTGGGAGAATCTTTTAAAGTTTGAATTCAAGGCTCATTCTCAAGATCTACGGAATAGACTGGCCTGGAAAGGCAGTGGGAACGCACATGTTTCTTAAAAGCCACAGATACGGCCAACGTACACTCGAAGTAACAACCACTCATCTGCCGAGGCGGACACATCGTAACTGTCAGAAAGCAGCGTGGGGAGGGAGGAAGGTTCAGGCCGGCGTGTGAGAAAGGCCCGCCATTGCGGGTCCTTGGAGAGCAAGCAGGCTGCGGACGGAGGGCTGGCACAGAGGGAGGTCTCCTGCAGGTGGCCGGTATGGCTCCGGCTGAAAAGAAATTCTAGGCTTACGTGTTTGTGAAATGACTCATCCAGCCAGCCGGCGGCCTAGACCGTGATCATACAACCCGCCCTCGGCGTGCAGGGTGCTGGGAGTGCCAAGGGGGACAGCCCACGGGCCGGGCTCAGGACAGTCACCAGGACGAGAGCGAAGGGCGGAGCTGGCTCTGGGGGTGAAGGACCCTGAAATCTATTATTGAAACAAACCCAATCAGGACAGGAAGAAGAAGTCTGCTAATCTCACGCTTGCTTATTCTCCTTGATCTGGTGTTATCTTTCTCCTTTGCTGTGTGTGTGCGTGTGTGTGTGTGTGTGCGTGTGTGTGTGTGAGAGAGAGAGAGTAAGCTCTGGCCTCGCATTCTTTGTGCTCACTATCCATCCCTCACCGTGTGGCCTGGCAAAGTCGGGAAGAGACAGAAACAACAGGAATGCAGTGTCAGGAGCACAGGCAGAGAGGTGACAGTCCCCCGTCATCTGTCACGCTGGGCCAGGCCGGCCCTGCCCTGCAGAGTCTGTCCTGACCCCTGCATTGGAGGGAGGTCGGCAGAGCACGAAGCTCACCCCGAAGGTTCTCTGAGCACACTTCCTGTGTGACTTGACTCTGGCTTCATTCACACAGTCACGAATCACTGGACCTCAACCTCGTTCCGTCCTAAGCTGCCACTCGTCTGGGGTCTTGGCTGCCTCCCGTCACTGCTCTGGACACAGGACGCGGGGCTGGTGGGACCACCCCCGCACTTAGCGGTTGCCTGCAGGGGGGCATGGTGGAACACGGAGCCTCCGTGTCACAGACGCACATGCAGAGACCACTATCAGACTATCTGATCAAACACGTCAGTCAGAACGTGACTTCTGCAGTGAACAATCAGGAAAAACATAAGATACATTAAATAACAGTGTCCAGACGTCAGATGACAGACATCATGGGGTCGTGGTCCCCGACAGGCAGAGGACGAGAGAAGTCCTCACTCGTGTGAGCCCCACGAAGCCCCCAGCCTGCACCGGGGCGGTTCTCAAGCTCAGAGCAGAGGGGACAATCTGAACAGAGCGGCAGTCTCGCCGAGCCGGGCACACGGGTCAGGGTTCCAGGAGGCTGGGCAGACGCATCCGTGAGAGGAAGAAGCCTCACGGGGCTGGGCGGGGGCTGCGGGAGGAGGGCAGAGCCGTTCTCAGAGCCCCCAGAGGCGGGACGAGGCTCCCCCACAGACAGAGGGCAGCCCCCGAGCCCTGGGCATCCTGCGGCCTCCTCGGAAGGCTAATGGGGCCAACACAATCCTACATTAAGTGCTGCTCTGGACCGGCTCTAGCAAAGCTTGAAATCGATCCTCGTCCCTTACTTCACTCCACAGGCCAAAGAAGGAGTTACGGATCTACCTGCGCCAGCTAGAACCACAAAACGTGCAGAAGGCCCTCGTGCCCTCGGAAGTGAAAGATTTTTTACATACATGATAAAAAGCAGAAACCGTGAAAAACTGATAAATTGTGCTTGATCAGAATTTAAAACTTCTGCTCTCTAGAAGACACCGGAAGGAAAAAAACATCGAACGGGGAAAATGTTTCGTACACTTACGTCTGATCGTGGATTTTACCCAGAATATACAAAGATCTCTTACAACTCAGTGTCAAGAGGACGCACGATTCCCTAAGAGACAGACAAAAACTTTGAAGTCGCTCCACCAGAGGAAACACAGGGGTGTCAAAGCAGCACCGAGAAGACGCCGGGCCCCGTTATTCATTAGAGACATGCGAGTCAAAGCTGCTCCGAGGTGTCGTTTCGCGCCCACCTGGGTGGCTGAGCCCGAGGAGGCAGACAGACGGGAGCGGGGACGCGGCTGCGGAGCGAAGGGCGCGCTCGCACCTTGGCGGCGGGAACCGGACGTGACGCACCCACGGAAAACAACGCGGCCGACTCTCGTCAGGTAAACACGCGCTCGCCACGAGAAGCAGCTGCTGACTCCTCCGGGTTCATCCAGGAGAAATGAAAACAAAAGGCTCGCGCTCAAACGTCCGCGGCGAAGTCTTCTGACTGCCCAAGGGGAAGAGCCCCAACGTCCGTCCGCCAGGGAGCAGAGAAGCCATTGGGACCATGCACGCTCCACCGTGGGGGACCTCACAGGCGTCCTGCCGGGACCGGGCCCGGCGTCCCTGCCTTTCTGGGACGTTCTAGAAGGGGCGAGCCAGTCCCAGTGGCGGTGGAAGCCACGGCAGCGATCGCCGTGGGCGGGGACGAGCCTGGCTGGGAAGCAGAGCAGGGACCTTGCTGTGACGACGGCGTGTCCCCCGTGAGGACGCGACGGTGACGTGCGTCTGTCTGTCAGCCGTCAGTCCTACAGACTGGAGGTTTGCGCCGCCCTGACTGAGCCAGTCCGCTGGGGCCGTTTCCCAGCAAGCTCAGGAGGTGCTTAGCATTGTTTAGCTGTAAAGTATTTGATTAAGGTTTGCGCATTGGCCTTTTTTAGACATGACATTACTGCACACTAATGGACTACGGCACGGCGTGAACATAATTTTTATGTGCACTGGGAAACCCAGAAGTTCACGTGACTTGCTTTATTGCGGTGTCTGGAACCGAATCATCAATTCACCTGTGTTTCAAACTGGTGACATATAAATTAGACCTCAGTCAAGTTCGTTAAAAACCAGCTGCAAACAGCTGTGTGCAAATGTGCCGTCAGCCAGAGAAACTGGGCCTCACTGAGGACCGAGGAGGCTCTGGAAGGGTCGGGGCCAGCAGGACCTGGGGTGACCCCTGAAGGAGAAAAGGGGCGGACCGTGGGGAAGAGTGGGGGGCGGGCGAATGGGCACGCGGCCACCGTAGGGGCCTTGAGCAGGTGCTGGGAGGGGGCGGGGACTATGGCTCCTTGGTGAGGTGGGGGTGGGGTGGATTCAGGACACGATGACATTATGGCAGGAATGGTGGCAGTGGCTAAAGGCCATGGGGATGGCCCAGCATACGGGGCCCAGCTGAACGCCCGTTCTCAGAAAAGTATCTTTAGCCACACACTATGATACATAGTGTTTTCTGAATTCAAATTTCATTCGGTTCAACAAATGTTTGCGAAATGTCTACTGAGGATGCAAATCGAATCGAACACGAGCTCGAGCTTCCTGTCAGGTGAACAAATCACCATAAGACCGTGTGACGTAGGCAGCAGGAACGGGCACAGGCAGACAAGGGGCCGGCTGCTGCTGGGCAGGCGGGCGGCGTCGGGGTCGGCTGGCTTCGTGGCGGACGGCAGGTGGCCAGGCGGGCGGGCTGGAGGCCGGAGGCGCCTGATGCTTGGTCTGGGTCACCTCTGTTCGTGGGACATGAACTTCCTTTCGTTTACTCTGATTTCTGAGTAGAACTGCAGAATGCATCACAGTCACCCTCACCCCACATGCACAAGCCCCACACGGCTGAGGGGTGGCGTCCCATCCCCGGGGGGTGCAGACACCACACACACCTGGGCGAGGACGAAGCCGGCGCTCTTGTGGTGAAGAGCCTGTGTTCTCGACAGAGATTCTTGTCGAGTTGTCGTGCAGGCCAGTCACCCACAGTTCCTGGAACCAAGTCAGCCCGCCCCAGACCACCATCGTCACCACAGCAGTCACGTGAACTGTTTCCAGGGAACTGTGCTGGCGACAGATGGTGCCACCACAGTATGCAAAGAGGCCCGTGCATGTTTCGTGCAAGCAAACTGCCCCAGGGCGGCGACTGTCCGCTCTTTGGCAAAACAGGCTGTGGACTTTCTGCTGTGAGGACGGTGACAGCGAAGGCACGAAGGAGCTTTTGGGGGACTTTCTGCGCCTTCCCCAGCAACCCGGGAGCGGGCCGTGCCGACGAGGGCCGCGGCGCCAC